GCTTCCAAAATTGTTTGTTTTCTACTAGAACTGTTGAAACTTTCGTCAATGACATGGTTTTGTAGTCTAAGTTCGTTTATGGAGACAAAAAAGATTTCTTAGGCTAGCTGTAGATGCTAAGGTCTCTAGAGACCTCCTTGAAAACTGGAGTTACAAAACATTGAAGTTATATAATTTCGATTAGTTTTTTGTGTGTGCTGATCAAAACCGTGTCATTGACGAAAGTTTCAACAGTTCTAGTAGAAAACAAACAATTTTGGAAGCCATTATATTGTGAGCCTATCAAAGGGCTAATCTATGGAAAACTTAAAATTCAATAACTAGCGAATGGAATGAGTTGTAAAGGTGAAGCTTTGTATGAATATCACAGATATATAAAAGAGCCATAGAAAGAAATTTGAGTTCTTAACTACTTTTCCGGACGGAGATATGAATTTTTCTAGTTTTTCTAGTTTTCGCTGAGAAAAACAGAAAAATGCCTATAACTTTTGAAGGAAAAGCCATCGGCCCGAATCCTTTTTTTCAGTATTCTCTATCGATCGACGTATGAATGAATGAAAAGGGAAATATACATGTACATAGGTTCCCTCGTTAGTTTCTGTGCCTGTTTGTATGTAGGCACTAGTTCTGCGAGAAAGAACTCACAAAATTCTAAAAGTCCTCAATTAATAATCTCATCGCAATAGTGCTATTTTCCATGTTAGTTTAAATTAGGATAATCCGCCACAATACTACGCACTGACTTTCAAACTACCAGCGCTAGTTTGAAAAATATTTACGAGGCCACGGAACTGGGGCCCAAAACAAGTTCTTTCTACAGGATTTTTTGTTCGTGGGATCGGAACTGGAGCGGGACAAAAATAGTTTGATCCCACAGACCTCTAGCCGTCGAAGGTTAAAAAGCTGCGTCAAGTCTATCGATCTTATTTGAGAAAATCAACTGAAAAGTTTGATAAAATTTAGAACTTTTAGGTTAAAATAAGACTACCTTTTGTTTTTTTTGAGTTTTTCATGCTCTTATTTCTCATGTTTTAAGTTATATTTTGGTATTGACTTAAACGACAAAATTTGATATTTCTGAAAACGAATTCAAAATTTGAGTGCATTTTTTAAAATCTAATTTTCCTCAATGAAAATATCAAAATTTTTTATAAGTATTTTTTTTCATCAAGAAAGCTGAATGAGCCCGCTGAATTCTCCCAATATGTGGAGAAAAACGACAATGGTACGGATAACTTGTGTCTAAAAACCCAAACAATCTTAAAAATTTTGATAGAAAACCATGAATCTAGTGGATGTACTATAACATATTAACTTCAGACATAGTTCTCTCTAATGGTGAGAATCCGATCTCGCTCTGATCTTTCGTTGCAGAAATATTTGAAACAGAAAAATTCTTTTTCCATTGCACTGCGAAAAGGTCACTTTTTTTTCACAGTGTGTACAGATAATTTCTTATATCTATTGTATTTTTATTTTTCTATTTGAATTAGAGTATGTAATAGAATTAATAATTTAAATCTTGGGGACGATACTGTTGTTTCTCTACACAACTTGTCATTTCAGTGAGAAATCGTGCACTCACTGAGTGTGTCTACAGTTTTATTCGAATTTATTATTTTTTTTCATTTCAGACTCGGCACATGCTAATAGCAATTACTAATAACATACAGCTCTTTGCTTTTGTATTCTTCATTTCAGTTTTGTCCTGTTGCTTTATGCACATTGGTAATTATTATCGTAAATAAAAAGAACTTTATCGTGTCAATGTATATCTGTTCATATTTGATAAGATAAAAAAACATAAATAGCATAAAAAAACAATTAATAAAAATTTTTATTGCGATCAAATACAAGCAATTAACTATCTAAAACTATCGTAGAAAAATGCATTTCTCTAGAAACAGTCGACACGAAAATACGCTCAGATGCCCATCTAACAGATCAACACACACAAACGAGAGTTGTAGTTAGAATGAGGGTGAGACAGTAGAGGATATACACACACACACACACACAAACAAAATCCCAGTGATTTATCTCCGATATGACATTTTATTATCTGAAGACGAAGATGTTACTTTAGCATAAGAATTTTAAGAAAAAATATTCAAAGCAGTAATGAAAGCATAATTTTCATGATACAAACTTATTTTAAATTACTTTAATCTATCGAAAGTTAGATAAATAATAAATATCACGTGTGAGGATCGGTGCTGAATTATTTAGATATAAACAAAAGTGAGCTTTAATTAGTTGATTAACTATTTTTTTTGAATGTGTAAATCTAACAATTAAAGAGCTAAGAAAAAGATAAAATAAATAGTATATATTGAGCACTTTTGTCCCTGCATGTGATATTTTATATTTTACGACGTTGTCCTGAAATAATAAAGGATGTTCTTTTACTTTTAACAAATATGAATAGATTACTACTGACACGATTTAGAAAAAAGGTCTAATAAATCGAAAAGCGTTTAAAAATTTAAGAAAAAAGAAAAGTAACAAATAACACTTACGATTCAGATGAAGATGTTGGTGGACTCGCAATATTTGTACGACGATACTGTTGCTGTACTAATGGTGAATATCGATCATATTGATTTCGACTGTGGGAAGGAGAAGATGTTGAAGATGATGATGATGTAGACTGTTGTTGTTGTGGCCGATCATGAGATGGAGATCTAAAAATATCAATATAAAATTTTGAATTCAAAATATACTTGCTACACAGTAATCCTACTTTCTTGATTGTAGTTGTTTACTATGAAGTTGTTCATTATCGGTCGAATCACGCTGTCGCGTCTAAAAATCGAGAAATAGATAAGTTTATCGATATATAACTTTTGTTGGATAAAGAATAGTTCGTTTAACATACATTTCTTAATACTTGTGCAATCGATACAACTTCTTGTTGTGCTAATGCCAATGATCTCATTTTTTCCATATTATCGATTTGTATCATGGATTGTTCAACTCCTTCAAGTAGATTGAATTCAGCATTCAATTGTCTTTCTAGAGCATCTGGTGAAAAACGTTTATCTTCGAAATCATGATGTATAGATCGATGGTGTGATTGTGATGGTAGAGGAGCGATAGTTGTCGATGGATTTATAGGACGTCCACTGTCAGGAGACATTTGAGGCGGTAAAGGTGGTGAAGATGAACGACGACGTTGCGTTTCAGTTAGATTTTTGAAGATATGAGAGTCTTGTGGTATTTTTTCATCTTCTTCATCGTCTTGTATTGTTGGAGTCGAAGTAGATGAAGATGGAGATGATATGCTTGTTTGACGAAGTTTTTCATCTAAGAATGATAATATTGTTGTTTCTTTCATATGCTACGATCGAAGTTATCATGTTGAAAGAGTTTTTAAATACATACTCAAATTGACAGATGGTTGGTGTTTTGACTGTTGTGTATCATTGATATGTTTTTTTTTCTGATTGTGAACAGGCGAAGACGAAGTAGAGGTGTAATTTTCGTAATCATCTGAATACAACAATGGTGAATGAGATTTTTTCTGATGTTGATTTCGTAATGGCTGTCGAGGTTGATGAGTTCGACTCGCCACAATAGGCACATTTTTGGCCGCTAAACAATTGTATGATGCAAATATACTAATCGAACATTCGATGTATTTTATTTACTTACAAGATATTGTAGATGTGAAGTCATCTTTATATTGTTGTGTTGCTGATGTGTGTTGACTATTATTTGTATCTAAATGATTAGTTGATATATACAGATGATTGTCGAAATAATTTTTATCGAAAAAAATACCTGATTTTAAATGTTCATAACGTTTTAATATTGTACTGCCAATTGTGTAATTGTCATCGTTAAACTTAAAATCCATACTTTGAACTAAATCAAGATCATCTGTTGGTGGATGAGAGTATCGCTGGTATGATTTTTTATTCTAATAGAGACAAAAAATCAAATTTAATGAAAAAGATAATATTATTTTATCTTACCTTATTTGTTGATTGTCTATTTTTATAGTTATCATTTTTAATCGACCATTGTAATGATTTTCTCACTGAGTAGCCACGATAAGCTGCTTGAATTTTTCCTGCAGCTCGTTCACGCTGAATTCGTTTGGCTAATAATGGATCTTTTAAATCGCCTACACCCGGCAAATTTCCACTGAATTCACTTGTCCAATTTTGATTCAATCGACTTAAACGTCCAGATGGTCTGAGTGATGCCGATGAGTGATGTTGTTGATCACTATTATTTTGATTTACCAAATAAATTGGTTCACCAGTTGAAATGAAACGACTATCACCATGTCTTAAATTTCCTTCTTGGTCAAGATTGATAGTGTTTACATCAAACTCAGGCGTAGTTATGTCAAACTTTTGAGTACCATCTAAAGACAAAAAATGATAATCATCAATTTCTGATATAGTAAAACATTGGAAATCATGTGTTTGCTTAACTAAAAAATGAGATGTAAAACTTTTTTTATCCTCATCATTGCATACCCGGTCTAAAACTTCGAATCTTTTCTTGTACATTATCACAATCATGATTTAAATTCTCTGCCCATTTTCTCAAATTCTCTTGCCGATTTACTGCATGTATTTGCGATGGTAATGGTGGTCCTATAAGAATAAATAAATCTACCGAACTGTTCTAATAATCATAGACTAAAATTACTTACGAATTTGTGATGTTGGCTGAGATCGTGCTCGATGTGATGGATTATAACTAGACAAAAATAATAAATATATTTTTGAAATAAAAGGGAAGGATAGATTATTCAAAATTTTACCTTTGTGGTCGACTGTTAGCTTCGATAACACTAGATGTAGATGATGAAGATGAACTTGAAGATGAAGAGACAGAAGATGATGAAATTGAATGAGCTAATTGTTCTACTTGAGGCGGCTGTTGTTCGCTGTTTGCCCCATATGTTGATTCTGGTTTTGGTCCAAGCAAACGGACTAACTTCTGCTGGCGTGTCTGTTCCGAAGGATCATTCAAAGGAATAGACGATCTCATTGGCATCTAAAATAACGTCATATTGTATATAAAAACACTTTTTTGATCACAACAGAGTTTTTAATCCGTCCTCCGCCTATGTAATTCTTCCTTAGCTGAAGAGTTTTTCTTAAGGATATGTGATTTAACTTAATATAAGTAGAATTGCTGCTTACTGATGTGTATGAATGTCCTGATATTAGATTTTTCTTTTGTTTATCATCCACTAATTTGTTTGATGAAGATGGCAATTGTGGATGAAGATGTGCAGTCTCTTGAATACGTTCATCTAATTTTTTAAGCTTATCCTTTTTTTGTTTTTCTTGTTCACTCCTGAGACGCTTTTCTTTCAATAAATTTTCTTCGTGTTGTTGTCGTTTTTGTTGAATATATCCTTGTATTTGATCTTTTGGTGGACGTTCATATGGAACAACTTTACAAACAGGTTTTTTAATATCCTTTTCTAAAGCAACAATCAATTTATGATAAATGTACAGATAAAACATTTAAAAATCATACCGTGAACTTTTGATATTGAATTCGATACTGTTTTATCATTTAATTTAGTAGCGCCTTTGAAAAAAGAAATTATTAATCAAGTTAAATCAAAAAGAAATTTCTTTCAGAAATTGTTTACTTGTATCGCGTTTAACTCTGACACTGCTAGGTTTCTTGGACACTTTTGGTTTTTCTGTGTCTTTAATTTTATTTGTCGAACTTTCATCATTTGGTAATAATTCTTCAACGATTTTTTGAGCTGATTTTGGTAGTATCTGTTTATCATCTTTCAATTTTTTTAGTTCATCATGAACGTGCTTACTCGACGATTTTGAACGTTCACGTGATTTGGAGAGTTTGACTGGAGCAGTTCGCCAAGAATCGGGCGTTATTAGACCTTTAGGAGAAAAAAATGATACAATAACACAGCGAAAATATAAAGAATGATAAACTCACTTGTTTTTGATGCTGATGTTACGTGTGCTGGCTCCAATCGACGAATATTTTTCAAACGTTGCATATCACTGTTTGGTAATGAAGGAGAATCGTGGTCTATGCAAATAAAGCAGAAAGTTGATCTATGACAGAGATTAGCATAAATAAAACCTGTTTACATTTTATTGTTGTTGATGCACTTGTACTTCTTGTCGTACGTTTTGTTGTATCACTGGTTGGACGAGTTGTCAGTGATACTTCTTCTAAAAGAAAACAAAAATATCATTCTTCAGATGAAATTCATTCCTGAATATGTTAAACCTACTTGTGACTTTCGTTACTTTTCTCATATAAGGTTGACGAAATTCTTGAAAATTATAATCTGATGATAAAATAACGTCGTCATCACCATGTAGGAGTCGACTTTCTGTGACGTGATCATTATTCTCTTGTCTTCTTAAAACGATATCTAATTCTGACGGATATGATTGTGATTGTTGTAAATGTGTGTTATTCGTCGGTACAGAAAGAAGATTTCGTTCGTTTGCTGAATGATGTCGATTAGTATGTGTCGTATAGTGTAAATTTTGTAAACTTGATGACGTTGAATACTGATTATTATTTCTAATGTTACTGTTTTGATGTCCGTCAAAATATAATGATGACGAGGAAGCTGGTGGAGGATGTACATAATGATTTGACTCATCAGATTGTGAATTAAGACTATCGACACGACGTTCTGCAAAGATGAAAAAGTAATATGATGGTTATCATTTAAAAAGAGTGCTCTCCACAAAGAGTAGCATCTTTTACATCAAAATATCATTATTAAAAAATTTGGTTAAGAAATTCATACGAGAAACCAATTCATAATAACACTCTCATGATGAAGTTGGATGTGTCCCTTGTCATCGGATTGAGATAAGAAAAATAATTATTGGTACTCTGATCATTTGTAACCTTTGGCTGCCAGATCATCTCTCATTATAGTTTGATTATACTCATAAAATGTAACTGCTCAGCGACTCAGGTTTCTTGTTTCTGCAAAAAAATACGCATACTCTATATTTACCTGCAGCGAGCTTTTGCTTGCTAATTTTACGCCTGATTGTTTCTAAAAACATATCTGTTTCTAAATTAGTAGAATTTGTCGATCGTTTATTTTCGTCTATCCTATAATCTATCAAATTTTTATCGTAAACTGTTGCTTTATCATTCATAACTGGCATATCGACATTAGTCATTAATCGTGAATTTGCCGAACGAACGCGTGATTCACTATCATTTAAATAACGTGGTACTGCTGAAGAACTATTGCTATTTGCTGGATGATAATAGTTATTTACTCGAGAACTTCTCCCGTGTATGTCATCTTGTAACATTGTCTGATTTCCCGCGTGAATTGATAAATAAGATGATGAAGGTGATGACAAATTATCATACGAATGAATAGGTACGGCTGATATGGGTTCTGTTCTACCATTTCTGCTTGTTGATAACGTATTTTGTAGACGCTGTTCAACTTGTCTCAAAGAATCTTTGGCGTCATAGAATGTTTTCCATGAATTATCGATATTACGATCAAAATGTTTACCGCCTGATTTAGTTGTCGATAGCGAAACCATCAATACTGTATTAGTGCTATAATAAACAATAAGGTAAGACAAATCATAATTCTGGGTGAGAGTTTCTAATGTGATGTGTATGATATGATGAAGCTCATTGTTGTTGTAATCTATTTATACGCATGGAATGTGAAAACTAATTAAGATAAATATAAAAGAAAAACAACATATAAATTGTGAAATCAATTGATGTCTACTCCTTCGATAAGAACAAAAAGACTTTCTGGCATTTTTTTCAACAAGGTTGACAAAGAAAAAATTCAAGTTCTATTTATTTAACAAATTCACTCAGCGAAATTGTCTTTCTTTGTTTTAAAGTAGTACTTTTTCATTCGTTAAAACTACTGCCATTATCATTCCGTTGTTAAGGAAACACACACCATTAGGTGCTGATGAATAATTTTAGTACTCAAATTTCCGCGAGAATAAAAATTAAGAAAAGAATCTTTTTTTCTGGCTTGAATCGAACAGAAAAACGAACTTTTGCGAAGGCGACGGCACCGCCCCCAAGTTTATTTTTATATTTTTGCTATGAAATGAAAGGGATGAGAGATCCATTGTCATCCACAGAAGTTACCTGCAAACAACAGCTTTCACGCAGAATTTGAGATGACAAACTAAAATTATTTTGTCTGATTGAAAGCGCCGCCGTCCACTAGTTCAATCCAATCAGTCAGATTCACATATCGGTTGGTTCAATGGTTGAACGACATGGTGAAAGAGAGATTCACACCAAATAGACGTAAATATTCAACTATATACTGTCCCGAAATACTACGGTAAATGTGTAACAATGTCATGTTAAAAGTATCACACTTTTAACATGACATTGTTACACATTTACTGGACAGTCTAGGTAACATTAAAATCTGCTTATGTATATAACAATCCAATTTATAGTTATTTCTAATTAATCAGAGTAACATTTGTTTAGTAGCTATATAATAACTGTTACTACTCTGTGTAAATCGAAAAAATATCTCTAATGTGAATACTGTCACTTACATGGGAGAGTCTATTCATATTAAGTTATACATTTGTTTGTTCTGTCGCAGATACATGTATATGTATCCTATCTGCGCGTTGTAAAAGATCTATTCCTAAAATCTCCTGTTCCTAAATACTATGAGAAATTCTGTGAAAATGACAAAAAAAGAGTCCCGTTTTGCATGGGGGTACATAGAGTTGTCACCTAACACGCTAGTTGTCACCGTTGTCACCCAACTCCGCTAAAGCGGAAAAAACGCGTTGATTATGGCAATCCTGGGCGTATATGTGAAATCCTGCGAGTGGTTTATTTAAAAAGCTACAAAATTCTCTTATAGGAGCTCTAGTAAAATAAATAATACCATCTACCACAGATATTCACTAATTGCTTTGTCGAATCACATAATATATCTACCGATTTTCTGAATAATTTTGAGGCTTTAAAAGGTTTTGTTACATTAGTGGTTCTCTACCACAAGAACGACTCTTGTCCTCAATTGTCACTTATGCAGAATAAAATATGTAAATGTGAAGTGTTAATTAGAAGACTTGTCGAAAAAAGTAATAAATTTTAGTGAAATCTACAGAACTTTTTCGTTATTCCGGACCAGGACCACCTACTATTCAAATAATTAAATTATTCCAAAACCGTAAAAATGATCACAATCAACCATACTCTATAAATAAATTACAGTTCTAAAAGTATCTTTAGCTATGAGAGTATTAGTCAGAAAAATACGGAACTTGAGACTGCATGTAATTTATGTGATTGTCATGAAATGGTTTAAATATCTTTATCTTCAAAAATCTCAATTTAGTTAATTACTTTAGAAATGAGAAAAGTTTGAAGCCCACTAACGATGATTATTCATGTTTTGTACCGGCTGTTTATTCATTCATTTTTTACAAATTAAACATGAAGCATTTTACTCTATTTTTGTAAGTTTCATTTTATTTTTTTTATTCCAACGAACGTACAAAAGTATTTGCCGTTTGAAACAGAAACATTAATCTGGGTCTCACTATACAGTAAAAAATATTTCTTTCTTCTTTCTGTCATAATGTAAATAGAAAAACGTTTTTTCAATGCTTTTTTTTCTTTACATTCATTGAATGACCTGTATTAGTATTCATGTGATTTTATCCTATTAGTTCTGAAAATATGACAGAAGAATGTAAAATAAAAATTAACTAGAATACAGAATCGAAAAACCGAAAATTACCCTTTTCGAAATAGGACGCAAAACATCCTTGTGCCAAACAGTTCAAGTAAATAATTGTATTCAAAAAGACGTTTTCTGAAACTTTCTTATTATTATTAAAATGGAGTCTAACAGTCAGAGCAAACAAACAGTTTCTACAGATTGTATGGTTGAATAATTTTAATAATACAAGTATTTGTAAAGAAAGAGAAGGCAAGAAAGGACTGTGAAACAAAATAGCAGGAAAGCATTAAATAATAAATTAGAGGTGTGCGTAAGTCGTTTTTTACTCTGTAAGAAAAAATCCTATCTATGAAAAATTCTTGTATCCTACAACTTTGTGCTCTACTATAGAACAAGTTGACATTACATATATACCGCTGAATTTCGGAAAAATTGTGCTGTTACGTTACGTTGAAGTTTCGATGAAAGCCATGCATATTGCAAAAACCCAAATAGTTATAAAGTTCAGTTTAGAATATTAGAAAGAACTACCATTCTGCTCTTTTCTAGTATGAAAGTGTTTATCCTTGGTGCATCTGGTCTCGTTGGCAGTAATTGTCAAAAATATTTTGAAACACAAGGATGGAACGTCACTGGTTCTTATTTTTCATTTCCCGTCCCGAATGCTGTTTATTATAACACATTAGATCCGAATAATTCCAAAAATTATGACATTATTGGATGGAAACCCGATGTGATTGTACATTGCGGTGCACTAACCAATGTTGATTATTGTGAAACACATGAAAGTGAAAGTTATCAACAAACAGTCGAAAGTACTAAACAGGCCATTTCCCTCGCAAGACAATGTCAGGCACGCTTAGTGTATATATCAACAGATTACGTCTTCGATGGTATTAGCGGTCCATACCGTGAAAATGATGCTACGAATCCAATCAGCATCTACGGAAAACATAAACTTGAAGCTGAACAACTCTCCATCTCACAACTGAAAGACACATTAGTGTTACGTATAACAAACGTCTATGGTGATGAGATAAGAGGAAAGAATTTTGTTGCTCGTATTGTTGACCAGTGCAAGAAGAATCAAGCGCTCACTCTCAAACTTCCGTATGATCAATATGCTACGCCGGTTAATGCTTGGGATATAGCACGAGCGATGTTTATTCTACTACAGGATCAGAAACACGGCATCTACCATATCGCTAGTACAGAGTATATGAATCGTGTTGAACTAGCATCACGTATATTATTGTATTTTCCACAGGCACAGTATGATTTACAACCATTGAGCACTGAAAATCTTAAACAACAAGCAGCACGTCCATTGAACGGCGGTCTTTTAAAAATAAAATTTAGTAACGAATATCCAAATTTTCTTTTTAATTCATTAGACAATTATCTTCGCTCAATAATTTAAAAAAAGTCTAAGTCGATCGTAAGTGATTCACTGGAGAAAATATTACATTTTTAAGAGTTCTTATAATCGATTACAAGAGTATGCTTTCCTGAAGTCCAAAATATTGTCAAATGTCTGCCAAATAAATTAGCCTATGAACCACACTTTGGAATCAAAATATGCCAATCAATTGCGATATTGAAGTGCTCGTAAAACATGTGATCGTTCAATTTGTTGTCACTATATATGTATACTTACGTGTTCATTGTAACTGGGATAAATCTGGATTTTTACTGTATGCTCCACTAGCATCATCTTTTTTCTTGTTAGTTATTTGTGTTGCTTAAGCTACAGATGGATCTGCACAAACCATCAATGAAAAGTACAAATGAGAGGAATATTGTATTAAAAACTTCCTGCATTTCGTGGTAGAAAATAGATGACGTATGTATCTATAGTACTCTCTAAAAAAAAATCGTATTCTAAAAAACCAAAAAATGGTATCCCGGGATGGTATCCATGAATTTCGATGGAAGTGTCGAAAGTAGGAAAGGACAATAAAGAAAAAAGCTCGGGATACATTCTTATTCTAACCTGTTTATCTCAATTAATACAGCCGATTACTCAAATATTTTTACATAGATCGACAGGCCTGAATCTCAGCTACACAAAAAGTTTTGCTCACTCTTAATAATTAACTGAGATGAACATGAAATACGAAATATGAAACGTTTAGTGTCGGAATCACGGCATGTAACCCTAATCTAAATATGTCGCTTCGTTTATCCTTATTGTCGCAAAGTTCGAAACCTTTTATAAGATCTGTAAAAACTATCTCTTTTAGGGTGTAGACGCCGACGTTAGACAATTAGCTGCTCAAAAACTTAGTTTCACGTTATCTGGATATACTCTTATTCATAGATATTGGATCGATAAGAGTAATATTAGAAAACACTCGTTTACCGTGTAGCAAATGATAGTTCCTCTTATGAGAAAGGACCTTACTATAATCTGAAGATTCTTCTTCTTATTAAGAAGACGAGAAAAAGATGATCTATTATCTTCCATTTTGCTTCGATTTATCGTACGCCAGAAGGTTTAGAAAGTGGGCGATAGGAGGTCTAATTTTTATCAACTAAAAAACTGAAAATATTTAGTTTTTATTTTAAGAAACCGAATCTGCCGCTGTGTACACCGAGGAATATCAGAAAGCCCGCCAAGCCTATATAAACTGGAGTCAAAAATGGACAGCCGATGAAAATCACCGTTTTACCACCAGCAAGAAAAGTATCCCAGATGCTCACAAGAATGATATAGTAATTGCACAACAGGATATGGTAAAACTAGCCTGGTCCATCACTAATCATGATCCATATTTTCGGGAAATACAGTTGAAAGAGAAAATGCAGATCATAATTATGTTACACAATCCTGTTAATGAAGATACAATGTACGGCAATGCTCGCGATAAAAATCAGTTAAGTTTTACATTTAAAGAATTAAAACGTGTTTTGTCTCACTGTTTACGCGACCTTGTTGACAGAACAAGTATCATGGATAGTTCACCCGTTGTTTTAGCACCAGATAAACGTAAGAATCCTTGATCCTCATCATAATTAAATTACTCTACATCAGAAGTTCTTTTTTTAGATAAGAAATTTGATGTTAGCGATGATAAATGGACGGATGTGTTTAATGAAAATATTAAATCATTATTATCGGATGATTCAATTAAATACTTGATTGTGTGTGGAGCTCCTCCAAGAGACCGACTACATAAGACTAAAATCATCCATTGTGGAAGAGATAACGATAAAAGTGAAGTTCGTGATATGCAATGCTGCTCGAGCTGTTGTAGAGAAATGTTTCCTTTGTGTATTTGATGGAGGATAAAATAGTTTAGCTTAACTATAACACAAATATCAGTAATTTAGAATACCATAGATACTACAGATTTTTTACAGTATTGACAATACCAACATTTTTTCTTTTGTGTCGTTTAGACTGTGAAATAAAATGTGTATTACAGACGCTAGCCAACATGAAATAAACCAATATCTGATGCGATAGGCAGAACCGCTTCATCGCAAAACAATATGCTCTAGATATGGTGATGTACTGCATGTACTTCACCCGACTATGCATCCGAATCCCCTTTAGCGATTGAAACGTTTCAACTAGAAGGAAATTCTAATTTATCATATGATCAATTTAAAGATAGAGCAATATTTTCTGTGATGATTCATAATGAAATTATGATATTGTCGATGGTTCCATGTTATCCGATGAATTTAATTATGATCTTATAATCAAACTGCTTCCAAAATCACTAAGTCTTCTCAGCTGAAAAAGATTTCTCAGAACTTGACTATTTTTTCTCCGGAATAGGAAGAGTAAAACATAATTATGTGAGAAACTATAGTGCTTTTTTCAATGACTTAGATTTTTGATTTAAACTTTATTATAGAAGAAACAGTAATCAAATCGGGCTGTGCCCATTGCATGACACTGGGAGAGAGGAAGAGGACGAACGAAAGTACAAAATAAAAAAAACAAAAAAGAAACTAGACA